ATAAACCCATCACAAATTGAAAATAGCGTAAGTGGGAAATGCCTTTAATATAGCTGACCTACCGAACATCATAGCTTAGCTCGGCCTGCCTTAAACATGCTCAGAACACCTACATTAGCCCACGGTTTGGTAAAACCATCTAACACAAAGCCTATTTATAATAAAGTCTTTAATATCTCATGCAAATTATTCTGTGACCATTATAAAAAAAAAATCCTAAATTGAACTCTCATAAGTTGGGACTGTCTATGTATATAAAACACACACACACACACACATATACATATATATATATATATATATTTGTTATCATTTTGCAGACATTTTTGAAAGCAGGTGTTTGTCATGCTGAGTGGTTTACAAATGAAACACTTAAGGGAAGAGGGTGATTGTGTAGGAAACAAATGGCGTTCAAATAAAAGATACTGACCACAAAGACATGCAAACTGTTATCCACAACCAAGGCTCCTATGAGCAGAATAAATGAGCCTAGCCCACCTCCTTTCCACCATATAGTTATTATTTTGCAGACATCAAGACACTTCACCCTTCAATACTTATATAGATATCTCCTAATTCTCTCCCACTTAAAACCATTATCACAACTAACAAAATTAAGAAGCATTCCCTAATAACATCTAGAACACAGGTTATATTCAAATCTCCAAGAACTCTTTCTTTTGAAGGTTTCATTGCACATCATATCAAATATATTAAAATGCATCCCTAGTACTGTTTTTCTGAAAAAAAATTTGTAATGGTTTAGCCAGAAATAAACCACTTATTTTATAATCAGTTAATCTCTCAGGAGGCATGGTACGTGGTCCTTTTGAAAGGAAATACTCTAACCTATTGATTTAAAACATAAATAATGTGGGTTTTTGCCATGGCCAGTGTGACTTCCGTGCACCGAAAGATCACTGGTTGAATTCCTGGTCAGGGCACATACCCAGGTTGCAGTTCAATCCCTGGTGGGATGCATATGAAATCGATGTTTCTCTCTCACATAGATGTTTCTCTTGTGTACTCTCTCTTCTTTCTTCTCTCTCTAAATTCAATAAAAATATATTGTTAAATATATAATTAATGTTTTATGAATACGAATGTTATCAACTAATAATGCCTGCATAATTTTTAGTTTATAGACATTTAATTTATTGTTTCTTACATTTTGTTTTCATATTTTGGGGTCAATCCTTTTTTATGTTTTTGAGGTCTTCAGAATTTGCCTTGGCCCAGGCATGGTGCAGAGCTACCTACCAGACAGAGAACTAGCTTGCCGGTGGCAGGAGATAGGAGAGGGTGACTCATCCTGTGGCTCCAAAATAGAAATGGACTTCAAGCCACAAACACCTCTGCCTCCTTGAGGCAGCTGCCATTGCCCAAGTTCCCAAACCTGGGCTCAAGCAAGGAGTCCTGAGGCTCAGAGAGTGGAAAGGGTGAGAGAGAAAAGCTGCTTCTCAGAGACAAAGGTTTCCTTCCTGCCGGTGCAGCCCAGCCTCTAAGACAGGAGTTACAAGATGTAATCTGAGAAGCTGAACTGGTCAGAAACTCCAGGAGGAGACTCACAATTTGGAAGAGTTTGGTAGCTTTTTGTTTTGTTTCTGCTATGGAGGGTATCTGAAATCATAAGTATCTAACTTAATTCAGGAAATTTAGAGATGGTGGCTCTCATAAGACAAAAATACAAGAGAAAGTGGAGAAGTCTGTATTAGACACTGCTTTCTCAGTTGAAGGAGTCCTCTTTATGCTTCCAAGAGGATTTCATTAGTGTAAGTCAACCTAATAACTGTCTTAAGGCATAAAAAAAAGACAGGTGGTATTACTGACCCCACTTTGCAGGCGGGGAAACTGGGAGACATAACATGATTTGTAGAGGTCTTGCTGAGATTCAGTTATTAGAATCAGATGAACCTTGCTTGCATGATGATTCAAGAGAAAAATGAGGATTTTAAGTATTTTAAGTGTTTTGTTTTTTTTAATAAAGAATTGACTTTTTTTAAGCTTAGCAAAGGCGTTAAAAGCAGAGTGACTTTTTACTTTCGTATAACAAAACTCCCAGAAGACACATGTTCTCAGCAAAGTCTGAATGCAGTACTGCTACGGTGTGTGCTGGGCATGAATTGCTCATTTCCAGCAAGCATGACTCAACCATCACATCAGGAATGTTTTTCCTCTTAAAACCACTTGGAGCCAAACTGTTAAAGAATCAAGAGGAATCACTTAAGGACATGAATGATCATCAAATGCTGAACACTTTAGGGGAAAAGGGTGGTTGTGGAGGAGACAAATGAATCAAAAGCTAGATGCTGACTGTGAAGATGTAAAAACCCTATTATATGAAATCAAGGCTCCTAGAAGCAGAATTAATGAAAGTGGTTCCTCTCCTCCCACAGTAGTATTCTAGGGAGAAATGGAATGAAAGTGGGGGAATTTAATATGCTTCATTATTTTGGAAATCTTAACACTTCATGATCTATTGCTAAATCCAGTATATGCTGATACTTGCATTTAATGGCTGTCAAAGTTACGGGTGGAAGAAAGACCTCATAAAGATCCTCAAGATCAAATAGAATATTATCAACCGGAGTTTTCAATCCTGCCCACCAACTACACTAAGGTTTTTACTGTAATTCATTTACTAGATTTCCCTGTCCCCAATTCTTAAAAACTAACTGGATGTTGCATTTTTCTAAAATTATTTTTTATTGATTTTAAAGAGGAAGGGGGAGGTAGAAACATCAATGATGAGAATCATTCATGGGCTGCCTCCTGCACACCCCACATTGGGGATTGGGCCTGCAACCTGGGCATGTGCCCTGACCTGGAATCGAACCATAACTTCTTGGTTCATAGGCCAACACTCAACCATTGAGCCATACTGGCCAGGCTACATTATTTTAACAAATAGATCCAAACTCTAGTGTTAAGTCTTAGTTTGAAACATTTTGAAAGAGAGCAGAAATTTTAACTTTTAAAATGCTCAAAGAGGAGCACATTTACAGGTAACACAGATTTCAGAAACAAAGCCCAGCAGATGGAAATATTTCCAAAGAGTCACCAGGAAGGGATAGATTATGTTTGTTTCTCTAAAACTAACTCTTGCCCTAGCTGGCTTGGTTCAATTGATAGAGCGTCAGCCTGTGCTCAGTTCCAGTAAAGGGTACATGCCCCAGTTGTGGGCTCAATTCTCAGTGAAGGGTGTGCAGGAGGAAGCCGATCAGTAATTCTCTCTCATCATTGATGTTTCTGTCTCTCTCCCTCTTCCTTCCTCTCTGAAATCAATAAAAATATAAAAAAATATATAAATAAAACTTTCTTAAAGTAGCATAGTCCTTAGTATGAAATACATCCCAGACACCTGTCGTTACACAAATGATGAACAATTTGAATGGTGTCATTTTGTGAAAGAAAATGTCTAGCCCATCTTTTACTTATTTATTTTTTTAAATATATTTTATTGACTTTTTACAGAGAGGAAGAGAGAGGGATAGAGAGTTAGAAACATTGATGAGAGAGAATCATCGATCAACTGCCTCTTGCACACCCCCTACTGGGGATGTGCCCAAAACCAAGGTATATGCCCTTGACCGTAATCGAACCCAGGACTCCTTCAGTCCGCAGGCTGACGCTCTATTCACTGAGCCAAATCGGTTTTGGCTAGCCTATCTTTTAGTTGGTTAAGTCTTTTTCTCTGCCATAAGATACCAGGGAATCATCTAAATGGCACCAAACGAAACACAACTTCTTTACAGCAAAGCTGGTTTATTGAATTTCATGAAGGAAATGGTACAGTGACATGATTACAAACAAAAGCACTGAGTTGAGATTTCATAAGGAAACATAGCTGTATACTGTCAATAAAGCACTGTCATCAATAGCTAGCTACATTGGACTCTGGATTAGCTTTCTTTGGTGTTCTCAAAGTGGCTTCTCCAACACATATTCGATGTTTTCAATTAAAGGTCACAGTTCAAATAAATTCACACAGGAGTTATAAAATGTGTGATTTGTGCTTAAAATTAATAGTTGTTTGATAGCCACCATTTTGAAAGTGATTTCTCAATAGTCAATGAACTATTTTATAAACATCTTAGAAAATATCTAAAAGCTTTATCCATTCAATTAAGATGTAAGTTCTTTTAAAAGACAAAACATACATAGAAAAAATTAAAACAATAAATCATTACAAATGAGATACAAATAACTTTAAATTAATAAATATTAAAGTGAAAAAATAAATCCTTTCACAGAACTATAAAGAATACTTCCTACTAAGTTTTTTAAAAAGAAATAAAGTTAATTTCCTTTTTTAAAAACCATTCATAACATAATGAAAAAACATAAATGTGCTTGGGAAGTCTGTAAACTTTCTTTCCCCACTATAGAAAATGTTTTGAAAAGCAATACACAGATTCCTTTCTTTAAAAAACTACCACACCCATCACAATTATTACAGTTGTCACTGTTTCACTATAAAAATAGTTACAAACAGCCAAAACCGAAACCGGTTTGGCTCAGTGAATAGAGCATCAGCCTGCGGACTGGAAGGTCCCAGGTTCTATTCCAGTCAAGGGCATGTGCCTTGGTTGCGGGCACATCCCCAGTGGGGGGGGGGGGTGTGCAGGAGGCAGCTGATAGATGTTTCTCTCTCAACGATGTTTCTAACTTTCTATCCCTCTCTCTTCCTCTCTATAAAAAAATCAGTAAAAAATATTTTTTTTAAAGTTACAAATATGAATTTACATAAAGTCAAATCATTTTTAATTTTAACATAAGAAAAATGCATTAATCTCTCTACACACAAATAAAGCCAACTTGATTTCCTTAAGCTCTAATATTTAAAACTGAACAATTATTTTCTATAATTATTACTTTTAGTTCATTTAATATAATTATCTCATTTTTATAATTATTCAGTTAGGACCACCATGACAATGAAACAAAAATCTGAAATTAGATTCGATACATATTTAATTGATTTCCCACATTCTGAATAAAAGTACAATCATCTTTTGGCTTGATTTCTCTAAAATGATCAAGAACAGCAATCTATGAGAATTAGTCAATGTGCACATTTCAGTCAAAGTTCATGGCTTACATTCCATTCATGTAAGTTTCATATGCAAGTTTACTATTTTCTATGTGCAAAGTCTTAAATTCAAAGCAAAGCTATTTAGGGTAAAAAACATTTTGAAATGTTCTTTCCCCCACTGAGGGATAGACAAGATTTTTTTCAATATCTAACTTGATTTTTATACTGAGGAGAAATAGCATGTTGTGGCCATAAAATTTAAAGATTTAAAAAATGGGTGTACTGTAACACAATAGATACTATTACAGGAATATATGTACACTCATAGCAATTAGAGGTGTATTCTCAGAGCTACAATCCAAACGGAAAATGATCTGTGAATTCAGCCTTGAGTCATTAAGCTGTTTGGGGATGAGGGAGCTGGAGACACATCCTAAAATTACTAAAAGCTACAATAAGTCTCCTGTGATAACCAGACCACATTTACCTATATTCCCCCAAGTTACAGATCCTCGTATGCTTTCGATTCCTTTTTTTTTTTACTGTTTAAATATTTCATAATAAAATATAAAGCACCTTATGTCACTTCATTTGCACTAGAATTTGACTTGTCTTCGTGTAATTTAATAGAATTTAGTAAGAAAACAATTCAAATTATTCTTAAAAATAACAATGATCTCTATAGAACTCATCGGCATTGATTAGAAATATTAAGTATCTAGCACTGCTGGGAAAGTCGTTTAAGAATTGAGACCCAGAAAACATTCTATGCCTTCTCCTCCCACCGGAACTAAAGTCTAGCTCTAAAATGTAACGATAATAATACAATTAAGCCACTAATAATACAAAAAGAGAACTCCAGGGAGAGGCAAATACAAGTTTGGATCCTACTGAGAATACTTCTCAAAGGACACACCATGAAGTGTGTATAAACCCTTACTATTTTCTTTTTTCAATCTCAGGAACACAGGCCTGAACAGTCACTGACTCTGACACTCCATGGTGCTCCACCTGGAGTCTCCTTCACGGGGCTCTGATGGAAAGATGTTCTGACCATCCTACCTTTGCTTCCTTTTCAACCTCACCTGAAAACCAACGTCTTAGTTGTGCTGACAGTGACAATCCCGATTACGTAAAGACCAAAGACAGAAGGGAGCATGACGATGATAAACAGTGACGTGCCAGGACGATCCATTACATTTGAGAGTAAATCTTACGACTATCACTGCTATACTTTCAAAGTGTTTCTTTAGTCAAAATTCAGCAGCATCATAAAGACGGTTACTCAGCACCAGCACGGCATCGCAGGCTTTGGTTCAGGCCTCAGGGTAACTCCGTTATTCGGGGGTTGACTAAGCATTAATGGTTTGTGGCTCTTAAGCTTATGAGCCAAGGTCATAAATATAGCTTCCACGTGATCATTATCATTGGGGTTTTTAGCAGAGGTTTCAAACAAAGGCATACTGTGTGTGTCAGCAAATTTTTGTGCCAAGTCTGTAGGTACCTGAATGGCACTTCTCAAGTCACATTTATTTCCCACGAGAATCCGCGGTATGTCATTGGCTAGCAAATGCTGTTTGCATTCCTCTATCCAAGACGGCAGGCTATGGAAACTGGCCATGTTGGTCATGTCGTACACGAAGACCACGGCGTGCACGTTGCGATAGTAGTGCTGCACCATGCTCTTCCTGAAGCGCTCCTGCCCCGCCGTGTCCCACAGCTGGATCTGAACATGAAAAGAAGAGGAAACGGAAATTCCTATTTCACAGAGGAAATTTCATTCCAGTGATTCATACTGAAAATCTGATTCACTTCATGGTCTTTAGGACTTCTTCACTTATATTACTTAGTTCCCTTCCATAACACCTTTTCTGTGTTATTTATGGGAGCTAAATTTCATGGTGTTAGTCTACAAACCTCATAATTAGTGCAAGTAACGGAACAAATATTTCAACTGAGCATTTAAATCTCAGTAAATCAGCCGAAACCGGTTTGGCTCAGTGGATAGAGCGTCGGCCTGCAGACTGAAAGGTCCCAGGTTCGATTCCGGTCAAGGGCATGTACCTTGGTGCAGGCACATCCCCAGTAGGGGGTGTGCAAGAGGCAGCTGATCGGTGATTCTCTCTCACTGATGTTTCTAGCTCTCTGTCCCTCTCTCTTCCTCTCTGTAAAAAATTAATAAAATATATTTTTAAAAAATAAATAAATAAATCTCAGAAAATCAGATCTGACTGGATGAAATTTTGCTCCAAAAAATGAATTTTAAAATATTAAGAGAAAACTATATCAGATTTTAACAAACATAAGTGTCCAACTGCTATAAATTTGGTTACTATATGCCCTTGTCTATCCTTCACAAGGCTAATTTAAAACAGTAAACTTGTCCAGGACTGTGTTTCTCAGTGGTTGGAGCATCAGCCCCCACAAAGGGTCACAGGTTCAATTCCAGGTCAAGGGCATGTATCTGGGTTGTAGCTTGCTCCCCACCCTCATTTGGTTGGGGCAAGGGCAGGAGGCAACCAGTTAATGTATCTCTTTCACATCAAAGTTCCTTTCTCTCTCTTTTTCTTCCTTCCCTTTTTCCTGCTCCCTCCCTCACCGCTTCCACATTCTGAAAAGCAATGGAGAAAATATCCTCAGGTTAGGATTAATTAAATAAAAAATATATATAATATATATATATATATATATATATATATTTATATATATATATTTATATATATATAAATAAAATAGACAATACAAATGTTAAGAGTCATGGGGTCTAACCCCCAAATTAACAAATATATACATTCTATGAAATCCAGGCCCTCTTGAAATTTTTTTAATAAATAAGATTACTTATCTATCCCAAACATCTCTACCAACAAAACTATTACACTATCTCCTAGTGGAAATATGGGATAATTGAGGAAAATTTTTATCTAAAACTAAATATAAATCTTGTGTGATCTCAAAACACTGAATTATCCTGCCTTGGTTTATTTCAAAAAAAAAAAAAGGAGTTACTAGTAAATGAGGGTTTACTGGTCACAGTAAAAAATACTAAAATCCTATTTCCTTAAATAACTTTTAACTGAAAGATGTGTACAATGTATAGATATTCAAAGTATGGACTGGAAGCCTAAACTGGTGACTTCATAGAGCAACAACAGAGGAGATATTGTAAATGGTCCTTAGCAAATGCCTCGATAACTTAGTAATTACCTTTATGGCTCTCCAATAAAGTATGAAGTTATTATTTCATACCTCTTGTTTCCCGGATATCTTGATGTAATTAGAATGCACAGAGTTTTGAGCAGGATTGGTGGGAAGAGGAATATGGGTGAGTCAATCCCATCCCAAAATAAAACAAACAAAGGTTGCCTTTGGGATCAACATCCTCCTCCTCCTCATTACTTACATTTACGGAGGACAGTTCTTCGAGGCAGGTCTAAATTCTGAGTAATTTTTTTTTTGTTTGTTTCAAGAATGTAAAAGAGACACACAGAAAATATAAGATAAAAATAAAGAGGGAAATTGCCTTAAAGATAACCATTGTTAATATTTGGGTATATTTCCTTTTTGTGGGTTTTTAAAAAGAACTTATAGACTATGCTTCAAATATTACAAATCATTTTTCATTGATGATATCACTTTTGAATATTTGAGCCACAGAAAATGCTATTAAAAAGAAAAGATCAGCTCCAATTTTTTGGACAGCTTTTATATGAGTCATCCACATTATTTCTAAAATATCTTTAGAAATGTTAAAGATACAGTTTAAAGTGGGCTTTTTTAATTTAAAAAAAACAAAAACAAAAAAAACACCTGAGATAGAATTCACATATAACATTTACCCTTTCAAAATGTATAATTCAGTGGTTTTTAGTATATTCCCCAGCAGCGCCATTATCATCATTATCTAATTCCAAATGCTATTATCACTCCAAAAAGAAATCCTAGGCCAAAACCGGTTTGGCTCAGTGGATAGAGCGTCGGCCTGCGGACTGGAAGGTCCCAGGTTCCATTCCGGTCAGGGACATGTGCCTTGGTTGCAGGCACATCCCCAGTAGGGGGTGTGCAAGAGGCAGCTGATCGGTGATTCTCTCTCATTGATGTTTCTAACTCTCTATCCCTCTCTCTTCCTCTCTGTAAAAAATCAATAAAATATATTTTTTTAAAAAGAAAGAAAGAAATCCTATACCTTTAGCAGTCACCCTCTTTCTTTCTCTGGGTGATATTGAGGATAAACAGGAGAGGCAGATTTGCCAAAAAGATGGATTCCTTCAGACATTTGAGACAAAGGAGGGTTATCCAAATAGCAATGTCTAGAAGACAATAGGAAATGCAGAATGACCGAGAAGAAGAGAGGAAGTTCTGAAGTTATCTTAGTAGTAGAAGTGACAGCTGAAGAGACTACTACTAAAGGAGAGAAGGCAGATAGAAAAGCAAGGACAGGGACATACTGAGCCTCCCCCTGGATTCCCTCTATTAACCATACATACAGAGGTGTCCCAAAAAAAAATGTATACACACTCTGAATAATTGCAAAGGCAGTGATAATTAAAATACATTTTCAAAATGTAACAGATATCAGCTGTTAAAGTGTGTATTCATTTTGGGGGACAACCTGTATAATGTACTTAGGAACAGATGAACAAATAGAGACTTGATGACATTTCCTGAAATGTCACTGCTATAAAACATGTTCTCTGAAATTTTTCCATTCCACAATTACAATTATTTAACATGCCCGGCTGTGGTGGCTCAGGGGCTGAGCGTCGACCTATGAACGGGTAGGTCATGGCTACATTCCCGATCAGGGCAATGCCCAGGCTGAGGGCTTGATCCCTAGTAGGGGGCATGCAGGAGGCAGCCTTCCTCTCTGAGATCAATAAAATATATTCACGCTCCCATATTCATCACACAGCAGCCTTGGTTTACTTATCACTGCCAGCACTCATCCCAGTAAAGTACTCAACTTTATACACTGGACATATTTTTATATTTTTCAATGCTAAGTATCTCTGAAATTTGTACCTGATTCATCTGTGATCTTACAGTATAAAAGGCAATCCAGAAACAGGTAAAGGGCCATCAAATCTCAACTCCTCCCCTGCCTCCCTTCTCTCTACTTATTTTTTTTATTATTATCTTTGTTGTTGTTGTTAATCCTCACCCCAGCATATTTTTCCCGTTGATTTCTAAAATATATTTTTGTATTGATTTCAGAGAGTAAGGGAGAGAGAGAGAGAGAGAAAGAGAAACATCAATGATGAGAGATAATCATTGATCAGCTGCCTCCTGCACGCCCCCCACATTACCAGCATGTGCCCTGATGGGAATCAAACCATGACCTCCTGGTTCATAGGTCATGGGTTAATAGCTCAACTACTGAGCTTTACTGGCTGGGCTTTCCATTGATGTTTAAAAAGAGTGGAAGAAAGTGGGAGAGACAGAGAGAGAGAAACATCGATGTGAGAGAGATAAATCAACTGGTTGCCTCCTGCATGCATCCCAACCGGACTGGGGAATGAGCCTGCAACCGGGGATTGAGCCTCCACCTGAGGTGTGCACTCTTGAATGGAATCGAACCTGGAACCCTTCAGTTGGAGGGCTGATGCTCTAACCACTGAAAAAATTGGCTATGGCCCTGTACTTATTTTTTAAAAACACTCTGCTCCCATTTGGGGGTAATTTCTCTCCTCTTCAGCTGTCAGCCTATGATCTGCTATATCTCTGCTTCACTCTCTAGTTATACTGCTTCAGAACTGATAGTGCCAGAGAGGAATAATGATGTGAAGCCACCAGGGAAGATTACCAGCTATGGCCCTAGTCAGTGTGGCTCAGTGGCTAGAGTGTCGGCCTGTGGACTGAAGGGTCCCAGGTTTGATTCCAGTCAAGGGCATGTACCTTAGTTGCGGGCACATTCCCAGTTGGGGGTGTGGAGGAGGCAGCTGATTGATGTTTCTCTCTCATCGATATTTCCAATTCTCTATTCCTCTTCTTTCCTCTCTGTAAAAAAAATCAATAAAATATATTTTTTAAAAGGCCTGCAGACTGAAGGGTCCCGAGTTTGATTCTGGTCAAGGGCACTTACCTCAGTTGCAGGCTCCATCCCTGGCCCTGGTTGTTGCTCATGCAGGAGACAACCAATCAATGTGTCTCTCACACCTGTTTCTCTCTTTCTCTCTCTGTCACTCCCCCCGCTTCTACTCTTTCTCTCAAAAAAAAAAAAAAAAAAAAAAAAAAAATTGGGGGGGAAAATACCCTTGGGTGAGAATTAACAACAAAAGAAAGATTACCAAGTATAAACCTGATGGTTCATCTAATCCTCACCAGCCTGATACCATATCATTTGCAGAAAAGAAAATAGATTCTGCTGAAACCGGTTTGGCTCAGTGGTAGAGCATCAGTCTGCGGACTGAAAGGTCCCAGGTTCGATTCCAGTCAAGGGCATATACATTGATTGCAGGCACATCCCTGGTGGGGGGTGTGCAGGAGGGGGTTGGTCGATGTTTCTCTCTCATCGATGTTTCTGGCTCTCTATCTCTCTCCCTTCCTCTCTGTAAAAAATCAATAAAATATATTAAAAAGAAAATAGATTCTAAAAGATAAGGAACTTGCTTGAGGACTAGAGTAACCAACTACCCCAGTTTGCTGAGAATAAGGGGATTTGAGGTATTTGGGGCTTCCAGTTCTAAAACTGCAGTAGTCTCGGGAAAAGCTGTCACCCTACTAAGA